CCAATTCTTATATATATGTAGGTACAATCAGAATGTGCACGTTCACTCACACCCTGATCTCAAAATGATATCTTCAAAGCTAACATTGTAAGTATCATCATCGTCTTGAAATTGCGACGTGTCGTCTACCCTTTCCTCATTGTCAACCAGTATTGTATCAAGTTATGAACGTTGTAGGTAATCGTACTTACCCTGTAACTTAGATGAGAAGCACATAGCATCTTTAGTCAATCATAATTTACTATTAGAAAAACATGCTTCAGTATGTGAGCAATAACGTCAAACCCGAACTGCATACTAACACCGAATGAACTGGAACATCGAAATGGACGATACGAAAGCATGCCACTGCTGAAGAATTTACGGACACGTGTACATTAGTCAGACCGACACCGACCGAGTGTGTACGAATCTTATCATAAGTCACATTGTGCGCTACATTCATGAGTATGAGAGTAGACCGATAATTCCAAGTATTGTTCGATATTAAATGAATTTCCTTGAGATGTGAGAGAGATTCACAAATTGACGCATATTTTTGTTTTATCATTCTGCACAATGTGAAGCAGTTTGTCAATTAAGATACATCGAATTACGACTCTCAACTACTGAAATTTTAGATTCCAAAATTATAGTCTCTGTTATGTCAAGGAGCTTCTTCGATATTATATCCATAATGGTCTCAGATCCTACAGAATGTGATGGAATTTGCGAACTATCTGTCACACGAGGAATTCCGTGTAGATATCAGCGATGTAATATTGTGATTCGCTTTTATGACATCAACTGCCATGAATGCGACATCTCATAGATGTTTGTGTTAACTGGGTTGTAGTTCCCAGATACCCAAAGCCCTCCTTATATCTTGACGACAACAATGTATAATACCGTGGGACCCGATATATGGCAGTCGCTGCGAAAATATTTGAATATCAATAATATCTAGACATTGATTTGAGTTTCGAAGAATAATTTATGCTGAAAAAAGATAATAAGTAGATATTTAATATATGTAGGTAACGGTATAGGTACCACAAAAATTGTGCAGATTGTTACTACCAGCTTCTTGCCTAGTAACTTCGCGATTGAAATTGTTTATCAAATGTATCAAGCCGTAGACGAGAAGTGTTGGAACAATAAGAATGTCATGACACTCATGACCATATTATTTCATGATTGATTCCACGTGTTGCGTTAATTTGGCTCCAGTGTAGAGCAATTTCGATATTCAAAAATATCACTGTAATACAGAAGATAACGTGAAAATCAATTCTGATTGGTTCTCTAAAACAAGAGTAGAATAGTCACACAAAAAGCGTTTCAGCCAGTTCCAGCCACCCCACTATAATAAGAACAAGTGTGCATTTTCAGAGAATCAGTCGATCCGAAATTGAAGAACATCAAGAGCATCTACGGATATTCAAATCTGAAAGTTGTTGTATCAGCAGATACGGCTGAAAATCGTGTGATAAATTCAATTCATGTGGCATATTATTGTTATCGTATCGTCTTTATATTTAAAGACAAACAAACGCATCTTGCATTGAAAATAGGATAGATCTCGGTTGGAATGTCGGTGGCGTGAAAAAAGAATATGACAACTTCAGTGTTCACTTGTATACTTCAGAGTGCTTCAGCTTCAGGACTTGGATAAGGAGAAAGAATGATATTATGAACGTTGCTCTCTTATGACTTTCATGATGTTCTTGGCAAAATCTCAGTGACATGCGAGAGCATTGACTTTTAGTCTGATCAAATAATATTTTTTCAAAAACATAAGAGGTTTCTTAACAGAATCACATGTTTTTTGGGGTGCTGAACCGAATAAGTGTGATGCCTCGAAGCAGTACCGGCTGAGGTCAAATAACGCAAAAAACCTAAAAATTTTCGGAGTTTTTCCGGTTTTTCGCTCAGCCGACTCACCGCACCGAAAATGTAACAGTTATCAAAATTGAAAAACGTGGAATTCTGCGACGAATGACGTCTCTATTCTATAACTTCTTTATTTTCTAATTTATAGTCATTCGAAAAAAAAACAGTTTTTCGTCGACCTCTTCAAAAAAATCATCACATTCTACGTTCTAATTTTCGAACCAAAAACCGACTATTTCTGAAGGCAAGTACTTTTCGTCCGCAGACAGTAAGTTTTCGTCCACAAACACTTTTCGTCCGCTGCAGGGTTGCCAGAAGTAAACAATTATTTACAATATATAGGCGTATACTCATGATATGTATAAACCAGATAAAGGACAATATACTTGTGTGATCCATATCCATAGACGTAGAATGAGAATGAAGATTCATTTTATTCAAATATATATTTTATAATACATATCTTTGACAAATTTTTTATTATAGAAAAAACGCCTTAATCCTGGACCGAGAATACATAGTTCTCAATATACAGAATATATGTATGTGAAACATGTATTATAAAATATTTGAAGGAAATGAATCTTCACAATCATCCTATATCTATATATCTATATATGACATTGATCACGCATTTATTTTCACCCCAGTTTTTGATGGAATTTTTTGACACAAATTTATGCAATAAATTGGTATTAATTTTATTCCATGAAAATGAAGCAAATAATTGAAAACAATTCAGGAGACTTAAATGTTGTATTTTTAGTTGGTCAATAGGTTATGAAGATTTGAGATATTCATGAAAAACTGATCTTTTTTAAAAGTTTCAACACACTGTATGTTGAAATTGAAAACTATGCATTTCCAGACCCACGTACATATGAAATAATTTTTTTATTTTATCAAGTAGATATGATTTTTTGCGCATAATTTCCAGACACCCTGAATACTGTAAAAATAAATGGTTTCTTCATACTTTAATTTTCCAGTACCTGCGTGTCGCGGTTCTCTATGCGTTTGGATTCCACGCCGGCGACCCAGGTTCAATTCCTGCGCGATAGTCGTTTTTTTTATTCTGTTTTCTCAAGTGATTTTCCGAAAAATAAACTTTTTAGTGAGAAGGTTCATTTATGCCAAGTGAGGTTAAGATTTTTAAATGAAGTAGTCTCCTTTTCTTATGCAGAAGGGATAATAGTTTCCTTATCTCCTGAAAAAAGTACTGTGGAGGCATTTACTGTTGAGGCTGATGGTTTGCCACTTCAATGGCGTTTTCGTTTTCAGGATCATCAGTGGGTAATTTTCTGTAGACTTTATTCCGCGCCAATTACAAGGGTAAAGCTATTATTTTCTATGATGAAAACATTCTCTTATTCGAATTTACCGCCAATATCAGTCATTGCCCGAATCGCTCTGATTGGTCTATATATTGGAATCATAATCGCGTTTTAGCGCTAGTTGCATTTTAATCGCTAGCATCGCCAACGCCAAAATCGCCTAGCAGGAAGAAAACTAAGAACTAAGACAGTCTTATCCTTATCTGTCTCATCAGTACTGCTTATTCCTCCTTCCGCTCCTTCAGAATCGGGCTCTTGCTCCAAAATTGTATATGAAAATAAATTCTTGCAATCATCAGATAACACGCTTTCTTGTGAAATTACCATCTATAGATATATCACGTTAAAGCCTAAATCCGCCCACCCCCAAACCCAGAGCTTAACGGGTTGTACTGTTCGAATAAGTTTTGGTGCCTACCTATTTACATATAGAATCCTTATCTGCTTTATCTGTAATTGTAGACATAAGTGCTCAAAAAAACTTAGAGGCGGTCATGTGTGCGCTGCTACAGGTTGCAGAATCAATTATATGAATTTGTTTTATTCCTCATCTGATCAGAGTCAGTTGAATGAATATACCTTGTATACTTATTGACCAAGCAGAACTGGAAGTGAGAAAAAAATGAGTAGTTTTTCCAAAAACAACTTGAAAAAATAATCTAATGAAACATTGAAAACCTGGTCAAATCTACCAATTTCAATTCCTAGCAATGTTTGTGTTCAAACCTGTCTTACTGAAAATAAAAGTTAGCTTTTGTAAACTATCTTTCATTGAATTGAGTGTAAGTGTAATTTTGAAAGAATTGAATACAATTTACAGGTATCGATAAATGACATACAACATGAATAAATTCAGTAAGTACAACCCTGTCATTTCCCTTAGAACGGCCCTGCTTGCTAACCCAAGAACATCTCACTTCATGCCCTGTTCATGACATAAGAGGTGCGTTCGGTTATAACATATCTGTTAGCTCGATTCCATCTGTTAGCTCGGAAAGCGTTCGATAAATCAGATCTACTTCCTCTGTCCAATCTGCTCCGTGTTCGTTAATTGTCAGAGCGAGCTGAAAGATGTAATCTGTTTGCTCCGCCTTGAGGAGCAGATCATTCAGATTTGATCGGTTATTCGGTTGTCAGTTGTCAACAAATCAATGTCAACAACATGTTATTGAAATTGTATCCCTTTTATGTCGAAAAATTAAAGACTCGATCAACTGGAAACGAAACACGAAACTGAATTTTGTAGAATCCTCCTTGCCCAGAATCGCCAGAATGACCGACGAATTTGCTGTAGATAGCATATTAATTATATATCTGTAATATATGCGATCACAACTGCCCTGGATCCACAGTTAATGACCGATCATATGAGACAGAATCATTCCTTCCCTAGTAATTTTCAAAATATAAACAACAAACATTCAAAAGAACTTTGTTGCCCTGACGTGTTTTTAAAAGTAATAAGGTCAAGTGAATTGTTTCTGTTTTCTGTTACTTCTGACAGCTGGCGCTCGCAATCTTCTACCTCCTTGAGCGTTCGTTAAATATCTTTAGCTCTATCTGCTAGGTGATCACGTGATACCAAATCTGCATCTGCTCGCTCGGCTCCGATCTTGTTAAACCGAACGCACCTAAGGTGTCCGTCCTTTAACCTCACTTTTCCGTTAATCAAAACAAAAAACATTAATCTATTGAAATGTGAACTTTGCTCAGTTTTTTATTACTTTTAAGTCACTTTAAGTTCTATTTTCTGTAGTAGGTATCATAATCGATCCGTACACGGCGTATGTTGGTGTAAATAATCAGTTATACCGATTTCGGCAATCTTTGGCAATTTCATTCATGTATTTTCTGGCCGTGTGGTTGATCAATAGTTCCTAAGTTATTTATCTTTTATTAATTAAAATCATAATGGCCAGTACTATTTTCAATTATGAGAGTTTGGTACACGCCACTTCTGGGGCGACTGTAAGTAAATAGTTTAAAATTCTGTGCAGTGAAGTTGAAATATTTTTGCTTTCAGGGAAGTATATTTGCCATGACAAGTGTTTACCCTATTGATATGGTCAAGTTTCGTAAACAGCGTGAGTGTTCGTTTTTCTCCCCATTGGAGAGTGTTAAAAAAATGTCCTTATATATAATAACTTATTCATTTTCATAACTTCCAGTGGATGACAAGGAAATAACTCAAAAATCAACATTAGATGCCATAATCCACTTGATGAAAACAGAAGGAATGTAAGATCTCCTTTTTTCATACTAGCTCTCATGATTCAACTTATCCTTCCATTTCAGAGGATCCTTATATCGTGGAGTAAGGCCTGTTCTTATTACATTAGGAGTTTCCACATTTGTATACTTCTATACATTCCATGGAATAAAGTCTCTAATACCAAAGGAAATGGTGAATTCCAAGACAGATCTTTTTCTTAGCATTTTTGCAGGTGAGAATAAATGATTCAGCATCAGCAGTTCAAAATTTAGCAATTATTTTGTGGTAACTACTTACCACTTTGATGACAGATCACTTCATAAATGCTTCAAAAAAATTTTGGAAAGTAGGTAATAATAATTGAGGACATAGGGTATAAATGATGCAATATTTTGTTAATTGAAATAAAATTTCCTTCACATTACTCACCTGGAAGTAGAAAATGATTAGTAATTGACTAGTAATTAACAAATAACTCATTCAGCATTTTATTTATAATAGTTTTCATGCATGAATGGTTGTAAAGTCTCACTTTATTGCCGAATTTGGGGGCATTAAGATGTATAGACTAATCATTCACTCTTTCTTCACTAGTGGCATACATAATTTGGCCAAATGAATTCAAAATAATTAATAAATTCCAAATTGACAATATAACTTCTAATGGAACCACCCCTGTATCTTATGTAATCGTTGATTCCAATTTGACAATATTACTTCTAATGGAACCACCCCTGTATCTTATGTAATCGTTGGGTAAGGATCCTGAAATTTGCTGGAGCGAGAGATATATACCAAAAATGCACTCTATGACCAATGTCGGCTAAATGAAAAAAGAATCTAGTCAGCTCTGGCCCTCTGGGCTGACTAGATCCTTTTTTCATTTAGCCAATATACACTGCTCGCCAACAGCCATGAAACTACCCCAATTTCCGGAAAATGATATTAGGAGTCAAAATAGGTCGAAAATCACTTCAGATTTGGAATCAGGACGCCCAAATTTACTAACTATTAAAATTTTTCCTGGAAAATTTTCAGTTCGGAGAAATGAAATTTTGTCGCATTTTTTATGGAAGCACCCCCGTATCTCACGTAATTGACTTTATCTTTGGACTTTCTCTTCCTCCCGCAAATTTCAGAACCCTACCTCAATAATTTTGTTGTGCCAACTGTGAAAAAATCTACTTGAAAATCCATCCAGGATATAACATAAATCAATGGTTCATTACATCATCGTCATACTATAACTCATTTTTTAATAAATGATAAAAACCATGTCTGACCTTATGACCTTCAATCGACCATGTAACTTATTCAGCTTTTTATCGTGACAATAATGTGGTTCAAATATTTATCTGACACTTCTTCATGATGAAGTGATAACTATGGTAAGTTTAAATGAACTTTGGGGCACTTTGGTAGTTGGTACCTACAATAGGACTGTATAATATATGTCTGTCTAGTGATTCTTTCTACATAAATTATTATCAGTGGCGTATCTGGCAACTTACTCTGGGAGGGGGGGGGTAATCCAATTTAGGAAAAGGTAGGTAGGTAGAACAAAGAAAAATATTCAAAGAAAAAACAATAAAAGGCACAAAGTATCCGTCGACCTCACAAATTATTTAATGAGTAGTGTCACTGTTAAGGAGTACTTTTTAAATACATCAATTTTGTGTCTGATGATAATCAATTGGACCACTTTGAGAAATATGGATGGTTTCGACGATTTAGAAAATTTATCTCTTTTGTACTTATATTATGAAACAATATTAAACAAAAATCAAGACAAAGTAATCCAAAACAGATCACAATAAAAAAGGAACATTATGAAAATAATGACTAAGTATTCGCATACGTAAACCTAATAATGAGTATTATTGAAAATAAAAATGAACAAAACAACTACTAAATATGAGACCAAAAATAGAGGTAAATATAGAATCAAATCAAAAAAGTTGAAACAAACCGTTTCAAAATAGAATTTGTTTCTATTTTTCTTACTGGCGCTAGTGGCCACTGCACTGACTGAACGATGGCTGACTGACTGACTGCACACACGTTACATTAATGACTCTCTTTTTACATTATGCCATGAACAAAGACAACTATGGAAAAAAAATCAAGTTAAGCAAGTTCAGCAATACAATACATGGACGTATAAATACGTCCATGGTAACTTATCTCTGGTCAAGGAGAAACAAATTATTGCGCGCGATGGTCGACGAATAGGGCAGGTTCCACCCGTATGAGACTCTCTTATGGTCACTCCATACCTTAATACTGGCGAAAATAATACGGGTAATATTTTTTTTTTCATAACAGCTATATATTTTAGTAACAGTAAACTTCTGTGTCCTGGTTATAAATCTATTTAGACGATAACCACAACTTTTCGTTTTTTTGTGTGAAAATTTTTCGAGGATTGAGGCGGGGCTTCTGCGATTCTTACCAAATTCGGACCGATATGAATTACCATCAATATGATCAGCTTTTCAAAGACAAACATCATTTTGGACAGTGCCGTGCGTTTTTATTGAAACATAAAGGTTACATTTTTTATGAAATTTTATTAGGATTTTTTTGACAGGAAAACTTATTTCATATTCTTGTTGATCATGCAGAAACTAATTACAAATTAACAGGATTGGCTTAATTTTTTTGATTTTCTGGCGCAAATTTCAAAATAATAGCCCTGGTAGGTAGAAAATGATGATTTGAATGAAAAAAGAGGTTATACTTTTTTTGTGGAACTCACAGTTTCCGAGTAAATAATCATTTACAGTATGTGCCTGTTTGAAACTATAGAAATTTACACCCTATATCTCTGTGTAATCATTCCTGCTAGACCCCCAGCTCTTAAGGAAGAATCTAAAAATGCAATAAAATACAGGGTGTTCCATTTGAAATAACAAAGTTGCTAGTTGTTTCTGATAGAAGCGGCAACACTGTATCGATGAAAATATTTTGGACGGATAGAGAAGGTTCAATTATCAAAGCATCCCAATTTTAAGAATGTTCTGTCTTTTCGTTCTCCAGATACTTCTAATAGGCCATCCACCGTGGATAACAATTACACCATTCAAAGCAGATTACATGATCATTTGTGCTGAAACCGATTCCGGGTGAATAGCACCACTTCTTCAATGTCTAGTTTGGACATGAGTATATAAATAATAAATATAAAATAATAGTAATTAAATATATTAAAAATAGCAATATCCCCTCCCTTTATTTGATTAACCCGCCGAAAATGATGGCAGAGAAATGTCGAAGGTCACCTGTCACCTAGATTCGTCATCTTCGTGTTATTTTCATTATTTCAGGCGCACCAGAGTTGTGTCACCTGCATAGCAATAGTCATTCAGAGATCAGTTACCCATATGCGTTATGTGGGTTGTCCACACTAGAGTCAATGTCCACACTTAATGCATATCAGAGTATAGTTGGTTGCATACGAGGTTACGGTTGATGGCGCGAGCAGTATTTAAAATGATTTAAATAGGAAGGCATAAAAACAGGATAAACTACACATTTTTTGTAGCTTAATGTTTTATTCACCATAATTGTACTTTGTGGCTGAGGTCTCCTTTTCTGATTCAACCTTGAAGGAAAATGGTTGGTGCCTCCTAGAGTAATTCTAAAAATTATCCCTCAACTAAATTTATTTTGAACCTTGTTGGTTTTCAACAAGTGGTAGGACAATCACGAAGTTCACACTTGAGGCCTGGTCAATTTAATAATTAGGTAAGTTATTTAAAATATTATACATGATTGTTATCTGCACGTGGCTGCACAATACATGAAAAAACCTACATGTTGCATATAGGATCCTGGAATACCATGTGGTAAATCAATTTAATAATTAGTTGTAGCACATTTCGCACACCTCGACGTCCTTCAGAATAAAGTTCTTGTGGAAACTTCCCGTTGGAGTATCAGTCAATCAAACCCCCAAATAGAATCAACCCTGAGATAAAGAGCTTCTGTGCACATTATAGATTATTTCGTTCATAAAATATGTGAGACATTATTTAATCATCGTCTCTAGACGCTAGTGTGTCTGACACTTCCGACAGTTTGACATTACCATAGATCTAAATATTACCAACTTTAAAAAATGAAATTCAGCGTATCCTAATGGAAGCTGAAGCTGTTTCGATACGCATTTGGGTTTTATAATAAGTTTATTAAAAACGTAAAATAGAAAAAATAGTTTCTTAACGGTTATAACACAAACTTGCTCTTGTTTACATCAATGAGGTACTTTGTATGTCATCAATTTAATTTCCGCATCTGATATTACAATGACTTCATTAGGTATGTTATTACTTAAAAAAAAAACTCATCGCTAATGACAGCTCTGTCAAATAGATGAGCATTACTTGAGAGGAAATCAGATGGCTGCAAGACGAAGAAATAAAAAATGTCGCAGTTATCTGTTTTACAGCTGTAGAAAAATTATAGTGTATAACTCGTACGGCATGCTAATTTCCCACTCGAATGATTGCAGCATTCGTCTTCATTCTCGTGGGAAATCACTATCATTCCGTGCTCGTTAAACAATATACTATTTTTGTGACCAAGTCTTCAAAAACCAATTGTTATCCCTTTTTCCATTTGATTTAAGGGGTGGTGAATGTAGTAACCACAAACCCCTTATGGGTGGTAAATAACCGGCTCAAAGCCAAAGGACAGTTGCCATTCACTGGTTTGCTGGACGGTTTGGTTCACATAGCTACGACGGAAGGAATATCAGCTCTCTGGAATGGCGTTGGGCCTTCTTTGGTCTTAGTATCTAATCCAGCCATTCACTTTACCATATATGAAGCACTGAAGAGGAGAGTGAAAGTAAAGAATGCTACAGCATTCTTCATATTAGGTAAGAAGGCTACTTATCATTGATTATCAGTTTGTTCCATGATGTTTGAACTTCAGTTGAATCATTTCAAAATGCGAGTCTTCTACAGCCGATGATTTTATTGATCATTATATATATTTGTCACATTTCAAAATCTGATATTTTGATGATTACAACTATCAACAATGCGTGATTGTAGCCAATCATTCGGTACTATGATGATAAAACTGCTCCTCCTTAATGAAACCTGCTTGCTGAACTGTCAAAATTAATCAGACTTACCTGTCTCTGCCATCTTGTTTCTTTCGACCCATCTTATGTGTAATCGAGTATCAATAAAATTAATTGTCAATTCTCCGAGAAAACAGAACTCAACTGTTTTGATCGTCAATCAACAGGAATAATTTTTCATTTCTTTCAAAGATGTATGTAATACGACATATGCATCCTGGATCATAGTCACCCATCACCTTTATAACCATTTGATCGATCATAATGAAAGGACGCAGAGAATTTTTTTGACTTGAAAATTTGCTAGTGATTTAGTGAAAAGAATGATCTTTCCAAAAAATAAAACTTGTTTTTCAAATTTCATCAGATAATTTTTCATATTCATCACTCAAACTTTTGTATTTGAGGCTAAACTATTCAAACAAAGGGAATATAGATAAGTCCTCAAGGACTTTAATTTCTCCATGAAACCTTGCTTACATTGGACTTTAAAATCAATTAGATTTACGTGATTCTACCAGAAAATCTCCAAGTTTGTATTCACGTCATAAGCATATCTCGCGAATAGCGAATATATGCAACTCACATCACCTAATGAACCATTTCAATAATCATAGAATGTCCAAATTCAATTAGTGAGGGACTAAATTCTTTATTTTTCGAATTGGTGAATCCGAATACGACTTCTTTCTCGATTCTTTTCAGATGATTTTCCATTTTCTTATTCTTAATTTCTTGTAGCAGCCAGCCAAACTTATACCAAAATTATACAGTGTGAGTCAGGTTTTAAGGTAAGGGTGATAGATCCCATCATTTTGATCAAAAAAGTGAGTATGAATATGTGTCCGATCTCGATCAATAGCGGAAATACAGGGGGCCAAAGTTTAACTTTTTTTTTCTATTAGTTGAGATATCAAACTCACTTCTGATAATATCAATTTCAATTTTGGTGTGGACAATACTTTCAAGAAGATATGAAGCATTTCAAAGATTTTTAAAATCCACAGGATGATACATTTTTGAGGGTAAAGGCTTCTTTATCCCCCCCAAACTTTTTCGTAGTATCTTCCAGTTATAGTAGGAAAGCCCAAGCGGGGATTTACTCGAGCGCGGCAGATTAACATAAGGTGGGTATCCTTGGACCTTGTGAAGTACTCCCACCAAACCTGGGCCCTTTATATGGTGTCAAAAGTGCAGGGCAGCCGATCATAGTGAAAAAAATCGATCGCCAGAAATACTCGAGCGCGTCAGATTTCAATAATCTGATGATTTGAGCGTAACATAAGGAAATGGGAGAGCCACAAAGTTGCGAAAAAAAATCTTCACCTGTACATTCTCGAGCGCGGTTAATTTTTTTCTTATTTTGAAGGCAATTAGTCACGGATCACGGAAATAACATAGAGTTTGATACGCCACGCATTATTGAGTAACCCTGTATAACGCAAAATATTTCAGAAATGTACTGCTCATGGGATTAGACCATCTCAAGAATTTTTGTTCATCTATCTCAAACAGCAAAGCCGTTATCTCACTTTGCCACACTATTGGTACACACTGTATGTCTAAATGAGCCTTATTTCATCTCAAAATTGTGAATTCTTCGAGCTGCTAAAGTCCTGCGACAAAAAACTGACCCACCCTGTATATTATATATTTTAGTTATTACATTCAGTTAACAATATCAATATCTGACGTACTCGAATATTTTGTTTTACCTATTCTCTATCCCTTTGTACGGTCACCCCCACCATGCAAACCAGCAGATTAATATTTCTCGGTTATCAGAAACACGTGGGGCGCATACAATATTAATATCTGATGCGCTCGAGTATTCCTATCACTGTTTTTTTTTTACATTTTTGAACACCTGTACACGCTCTCCCCACCAGTGAAAGGTCATATATCATATAGTTTTTTTTTTTAATTTTCGCATCTAATCTTCACAATCTGATACGTCCCCACGACGCTCGAGTAAATCGCTATTCAAGTCACGTTCGGTATTTACATCGCAGATTCTAGTCACGTGGTCACAGATAGATCGTAGCAATCGGCAATAAACGAACAAAGTGGACATTTTGTTGACAGTGTGACGGTAACCTAACCTATCCCCATTTATGCTACAACTTTTGAATGTGATCTTGATGATGAGAACTTGAATACGTTTGACTTGACTTTTTATTCGATTGAAAGCAGCTTTGAAATTTTCTTTTTCTTATTTTTCCTTAAGAATCGCAGCCAGAGTCAAATCTATAAGAAAAAATATAAAAAAAATAATCTTGAATTTATTATCTAAACACATTAATTAAATGTGTTCACTTACTATTATTTGTGACAATTTCTTCATAATTCTCATCTGACACCATAAAGGTGTGTGTTTTGTCTTGCTCAGAATCAAAAAGTTGTATTTCTTTCATTATGAAAACGTTATTTTGAAAATACGAATACGAGCACAACGGCTAGTCATAAAACATTGGAACATTAACCTCACAAATTCAGATCAATCGCTTTGCTCGGTCAAAATTCTCCGAGCATTAAGATCTTTGTTAGATCGCTCCGATTTTAATTGCCAAAAGGATGATAATTATCTACTTCCCCTACATCTAGATGTCATAAACGAACGATTCAGATTCATCGGAGCAGTCTGATGTAAATAACGAACGCGACTTTAGTCTCTTTGCCTCCCCTACTATTACCAAACAGGGTGGATCATTCAATTCGAAAACTCCATCTGCATCTCAATTTTTCAAGAGAAACGCACCGTGTTGGAGATAAATAAGCATATCTGTGCAATAACATGTACTTCCAATCTGAATCAGTAGCGGGGATACAGAGGGTAGAGGGTCATGATGCATTTAACCGATCAATCCAACGACGACGCAGTTGTTTCTATATTCCTTATCCGATATCTTTTTCAATCATTTGAAAAAATTAAAATAGCATTCTTGTCGGAAAGAATCTTCTTGCGGAATGTGATTGTTTCTTTTACATATTGCAATTATTGTTAATTAGTGGTGTTCAAGAATAAGATTAAAAGAAAAATATAGATGAAATTGATATGTTTCAGGTCGGATATGCTTATTTATCTCGAAAACGGTTGGTTTCTCGAAAAAAAAATAAAAATAAAAAAAATTAGAAGCAAAAAATTTGGTAACTGGATAATATCAGAGGCGTGTTACGAAAAAAGTGAGCGAGATATTTCAATTGATAGAAAAAAAATATTAAAATTTGACCCCCTTTGATCCGCTACTAATCGAAATCGGATGTTAATATAAACTTTTTCAATTGAACTGATGAGTTCTATCACCCATTTCAGTTTGTACCCGAAAACCTGGATACCCTGTATAAGTAGGAAAGTAGGAAAACCTTTATGAAATTATTCATATATCCAGACAGATACTTGATGAAAATTCAATTTTTTGCAGGCGGCATATCCAAAACCATAGCAACTATACTAACTTACCCATTACAATTAGCCCAAACCCGACAGAGGCTGAACAAAGACACCAAAATTAGTACAGCTGCTCTGTTGTTAATGTTGCTCAAGAAAAATGGTCCGGGTGCCTTATTCCAAGGTTTGGAATCAAAGTTGCTACAGACTGTCGTTGCTACTGCCTTGATGTTCGCAACTTATGAAAAAATTGCTCAGCTAGTATTCAAATTGCTCTTGGGAACGGCCAAGAGAAAAGGGATATAGTTTTATAGGATATTTGGAGGTGCCAAAATGGTGATGCAAAATTGTGACAACTTTTTGTACTAAGATAGAAATAACTCAGAATTATTGATAATTTACGGGTTATCAGGTATGTTTCACAAAAGTGATTCATTTGTGCACATATTCTTCAAAGAACTAATAATATATGGGTATTGAAGTACAGGGTGATTCACCATAAATGTCCCCCCTCTAGCTCACTCATTTTTGAACCGATTTCAGAATTTGAAAAATGTTCGGAACAAACGATTTACAGGGTACTAGTTGATTTTTTTGTTCTCCCTGAAGAGCTGATCTCATCAGTGCATCACACTTGGGGTCGAGCGGGAATGGTTACAGAGATATAGGGTGTTCAAAATGAAGATTCTTGCAATTTTGAGATTTTTTCTGTCTAAACTATTTATTATTGGTCAAAACGACTCATATGGCTAATCTTAACCTTTGATTCAATATTAACTGACATTTTGGAACAATACAGGGTGGTCCAAGATCCAGAATTTTGATCACCCTAGTATAAGTTCCAATTATTGAATGTCGGTAGATAGTAAATCAAAAGTTCAGACAGGGACATGCCAGATGTTTTGACCAATAATCAATAGTTTGGACACAATAAAATTCTAAAGTTGAAAAATCTCGATTTTGAACACCCTATCACTCGACCCCAAGACGCCCTGAGTGTGATGTATTGATTAAATCAGCTCTTCAGGAACAATCTAAAAATGCCATAAAATACAGTGTTCCATTTAAAAAAATCAACTAGTACCCTGTAGATCGTTTGTTCCGAGCACCCATTATTTTCTGATATAGTGGGAAAGAAATTATCAAAAATTTCAATTCACATGATTCTTCAAATTTTGGGATAGGTTAAAATGTAACTGAGCTAGAGGGAGGGACATTCATGGTAAATCACCTGTACAGATGAGCTAAATGTAATTGATTCATTACATTAAACCAAAAATATCTCCAAGAAACTCTTCAGTTATTAATTTAATTTTTATATCTCAACCAAATATTATGTCATAAAAATAAATTGAAAACTACACTGTTTTACCACTAACCAAACCGATTTTTTAAACGCCTCAAACATATGTATACCTACAAGTTACGCCATAGAGAAACTACCAATTTTATTTTTATACAAATGAGGATAATTATACCGGGTGACACAGGCTATCGGGCCACCCCTGTAACTTCTGCATTCGTCAACGGATTTTTCTGAAATTCGGTACAGTTACATAAGCAACTATTTCGGATTTGATCACATTACAATCCAATATGGCGTACTCCCGGTTTTTCTGCAAATGCCAGCAATTTTATTTTTTCAAATGGAACACCCTGTATATTTTTACATATTCAAGTTCAACAGGTCAAAACAAGTGCAATCTTGATGTCAAATGTCATTTATTCCACAGCCTACCTAGTTGAAAAATTATTCTAACTGCAAGGGCATTCATAAACTAGTTGTTGATTTTTGAATGTATACAATTTGTTACTGCACCAAAAAACAAAAATGATATTTCATTTTGTTCCATAATGTATGTTCTAGAGAAACGAGTAGGTGGCCCATAGGGGTTCCATGTGGAAAAAAAATAATTTTTGATCAAAAAGTGATGTGGCTGAATTGATTCCTGAATAAGTGACACAAAAAATAATTTTTCAGAAAAAATTATGTTCTTCTGTTATGTGTGACTCATTGTGAATAGTCTTGATCACATTCTCATTTATCCACGAGGTAAAATGAAAAAACAATTTTAATTTAATTTTTATCGAAAAAATTACATTTGAAATAAAGATTGCACTTGTTTCGACCTGTTGAACTTGAATATGTAAAAATATACAGGGTGTTTCATTTGAAAAAACAAAGTTGCTGGCATTTCCAGAAATACCGGAAGTCCGCCATATTGGATTGTAATGTGATCAAATCCGAAATAATTGCTTATATAACTGTACCGAATTTCAGAAAAATCCGATGACGAAAGCAGAAGTTACAGTGGTGGCCCGATACCCTGTGTCACCCGGTATAATATCAAGGATATATGTTCATAAATATCATTGGTTTTGAAAAAAATTAATTCACTCTATTTGGCTGATGTGTACATCCACACTATATGTATTTTCCACTGAAATTTAGGTACATAATTGGAAACTCCTATTACATAATCAGAGTTGATTCACAAATGACAAACAATATTTTTGTAATGCAAAATTGGATGTTGTTTTGAATATTTGTTAGGATTCGACTTTTGGCCACGGTAGGAGAAACATGGCGTCTCATGGCCAAAACTCAGGTTAATGTGTGTGCAAGTCGAAAATTTTCTAATTACCTGATCTGGATGAAATCCAATATTTAATGTGAAGTGAGATGTGTATGTGAGAAATATCAGGCTCTTTCATCTCTACGCCGGTATAGAGGCCGGATGATGACGGATTCATCGGATAAGGGGGCCATACTTGAAGTCCGTGCTCCATTATCTCTACGCCGGTAACCAGGCCGGATCAGCAACGGATTTGCTGGATAAGAGGAGAACATACGATCGAATCTAATGAACACTGATGACTCGGCTTAAGGCCATTGTGATAGACAATCGGTGTTTTATGTGGCGAGTCGAGTGATAATATTATTATATAACAAAGTATTTATTCTTGAAAAAAAAAAAGTAAATTACCTGATCTGGAGAAATTGTTTCCGAAAGGAGACAGAAATCCAATAAACTCAAAGAGAAGAAGAAGAATATTTGTTAATTTGAAGAACGTCCACGTTTCTTTATTTCATGCACATTTCATGGTAACTCATTTATTGTACCATAGATCTAAATACACACATTGTACAGTTATCAATTGCAGAATTTCACAGAAATCTTAATTTTGTATTCAACTTGTGCATTCATTCTTAAAAACTAAAAAAATCCTGGAAATATCATTTATAAGAATACTGATACTAGTATCACATGTTGTTTATTCTTGTCATCTTATAAAAAAATTAACAAAATTGAAGAGACATTATATACAGAGTGTGCGAAACGACTATTAGGCTTTTTTTTTTAGAAAAAGTGGATCCGATCAGCTTTCATCGTTGTACTGGTACTGGTGGGGGACGTTTCCACGTCAGCAACTAGTCCCCAATGGGACCTTTTTGCCAACCCCAAGTGTTTTCAATGACTGATGTGGTTCGCTCAAGAGAGCTGGCTAACATCCTTTTCAGGCACCGCCCATCAGCTCTCTTTTTCAGAGTTTTTCAGCTGTGTTTTGTAGGCTAGTAATGTACTCACTACCATATGCGCAGTGGCAGGCCTGCTAACTATCATCGTTAACCCCCGAGACCGAGGTCTACTTAAGCAGCTGGCCCGCTCTCACGCTCAGCTGGTAGTTTTCCACACCCACCTACATACACGTAGGCTAGTAATGTACTCACTACCATATGCGCAGTGGCAGGCCTGCTAACTATCATCGTTAACCCCCGAGACCGAGGTCTACTTAAGCAGCTGGCCCGCTCTCACGCTCAGCTGGTAGTTTTTCCACACCCACCTACATACACCGTCCTACTTCTTCTCTGATGCTCACAACCACATCATCATATCTTCCTGCGTGTTCTGTGTAGGCTTTGTTACTAACTCCATGCGCCACTTTAGGAGCAGCACTGTTAATTGGAACGCAACAGCGAATCGTGCAGGACTATCCCCAGCCGATGCTCCGAAACTTTACAATATTTAATTCGTAAATAAAATATTGAAAAAAGTTCCTTGCCCGTGCTGGAAATCGAACCCACGACCTTGCGGTCGTGAGACGGACGCTCTTCCACTGCGCCAATCCCGGCCATTTCATCGTTGTAACTTCTACAGGAAGATCTTTCTAGGTCAACAAAAATTTAATCAAATTGAAGGTGGAAAGTTTTTTATAATGATCCTTTTTTTTCTGCAAATTCGAATATATTAGTAACTAATTTGAAGGACATATTCTTCATATCATTCCATGTCGCGAAAATCGGTACATCATCATAATCATAATATTATCTTGCATCTGAATATCTCCCTTGCAGTCGTTGGCGAGTGTTTGTCTGTCATTCTATTTGTTTTACATTTGACAGCTTGTTGGTCGAGACGGTTTTCACAGTAACACTGTTGCGAAATTCAGCAATTTGGTCCATTAGGACCAGTGGTGGGAAATTTACTGTTGCTAAATTCATAGAGAATAAATGTGATGAGGATATGTTGTGTTGCTTAATTCAGCTGGTGAACAATCTGATGAGCCACCAATTAACTGCCCTTTGAACTAGGTGACTAGGTGGATCAATATTTAAATCTTACATGGTCCATACAAATTTATGCAAAATAGTCCCACAGAAAAATGTCAAGAGCAGTCAAATCTGACGAACTTGGGGACCAATTATTTATAAAAAGAGAAATTAAATAACTGAGAAAACGTCTCTTCAACATAAATGTGGAAAAAGGAATAGGAATACATGGGAATACTGAACATTAAAAACCGGCACTTGACACTATATCATTGTTAAAGACCCGTTCATTGTATCAGGGTTTGGGAGCCTTCAAATATTGACTTCAAAGTGAAGTGCTTTCAGTATACAAAATGTTGATGTTTTAGTCTATTTTTCATGTAAAAAGTTGCGTAATTAGCGTGTTTTTATAGCACTACACGTGAGTACTGAGATACGAGCGTAGCAAAAACAAAACACATTTATTTCAATATTGTATTGCCCGGTCCTTACTTGACAGAAATCCATAGTAAATGTGAGAAACTTCACAAACGATAAGATATTTGCAAAATTATTGAAAACAAGACATCCGAAATGTTGGAATTGGTTGAAAAAATTGCCTTTGTTTTTGATTTACATCAGCTTAAATAATATTGTATTCTTATTAAAACATGTTTATTGTCAAATCTAAAAGGTATCTCACTTTTTAGCCACGAGTAAAAGGTATTCATTTTGATATTTCATATTAACATAGGTGAACAATGGATTCCTGGGCGATCATTCCACAATATATACCTCGCTCAATTTTGGAGTAGTTCGGAAATTCAATAACTTTTACATGAAAAGTATCTCAATATTTGTGTGTCAGAATTCTTTCCAAATCAATCTCATTTGTATCGATTTCGACCACAGTTTGTTTATTGTATTTTAACAATTTCAACAATTTGTGTGATTGGTAGTGGTTTTGCAAATGTTCGTCGACCGCATTTAAAACTGGGACACAATGTATAAAATTTAATAAATCATGTTTTCTTTTTGAAAGAGTTTTCTTGTTCAAGCAAAATTTTCTACTTACCTATCACTGAAAGACATAAGTAGGGTTCTTCAATGTGGATTCGCAGAAGTAAACAAATGAACAAGGTAACAAATTTATTTACCACAAATTATTCAGTTTATACAGAAACAAGCAACTAGCCACATTTATACTCTATGTATATTCATTTGGTATGCTAAACCAAACTGACCTAACCAAATCGAATCCATTATCATCGTCAAAATTTTTTAGTTCATCATTGATAAATATGAGTAACTGCTTGAAAATGAATGGAAAAATTATGTATAATTTCGTCTGTCGTCAACGGCTTCAATAAAATTGTATCATTTCATGTCTTCTACTTTTAACAAATATAATACGGTTTAAAGCACACTGGTACTAATAGGAGTGATAGGTAACCAAGACAAGGTATAAGCGTGGCTACTGAAAACTCAAGAATTAATAGTCGAGAACACTAGTTTCTGGAAAAAATACCATGACCTTCAGTACGATAAAAAAAGGCATGAATGATGTTTTTTCAATTTTTTATTCCTAGAAGTTTTCCAAAGAATGAATGAGCCTAGAAATTCTCCTTTTTGAAAACCGCCAGTATTGACCTTACAAGTGAAAACACTAGCTGGAAAACGAAGCAAAGTCTGTCAGTTTGGTATAAAATAACTATAGTTGTAGTTGTCAGAATGAATCGTTCATTCATAATGAATGCTTCGTGAACGTGAAATAGCCCAGCAAAATACCACTCTGTTCTGAATAGCTTCTCATAATTCTGTCTTTCATTGTTAGTGTGACAAAATTGAAAATGATGAATCAGCGTGTTGAACCCACAGAACTAAAACACAAAGGAGAAAAAAACTGTGTTATGATTTTGTTCCAGCAAGTCTGCGCATTACTGAATGTAATCTGTTAGCTTTTGTGTTTATTTGGTGTTTATTCACAATTTCCATTTTTCTGCGTTTTCGATGGGTTTTCGTTATGACTTCAATATGATTCATGCGATCCTTCAGCAGTAGTGGCATATTTCCAAATATTTATTATTTTCGGTAAGTTAATATTTTTTTAGGTTAGTAAACAGACCAGGCTGGAAAATTTTTAGATCAATCCAAAACATGCTTGAATTTAATTTTTCATCTTTTAGTTTCGGTTTTAGAAAAAAACTATGACTTGAATCGCTTATGAAGCCTTCGGGATACCTGACAGGTACATAATTCCTAGCAATGTTGTTTTCTCCAAGCATTAGAGTTGTGTTTCCTGATGGCAACGTGACAGAATGCTGTTTTCAATACTCTATAAGCAGAAGGAAATCAACAGAGAGTCCTTCTCTACAACTCCAAAATAACAGTTGACAGGTTTGTTATAAAAGGCCTGTTCGTTTGTATTGCTAAACTTGCTAAAGTTGATTTTTTTCCCATAGTTGTCCTTGTTCATGGCATAATGTGAACAGAGAGTCATAAAAAAAAATCAAATTTAGCAGGTTGAGCAAGCACAAACGAATAGGCCTTATAAGTTCCACCAATATCTGTGATATCTTAAGATTTTTGTATTATAGAATGATGAAGTTTTTGTTTTGTATATTGATGATTCATTGAAGACTCATAGATAAGTGAATATTTTCATATGTCATGTGGATATTTTCCATAGTTCAGGGACCTATTAATTATACATAGTCTATTTAATTAATATTGGAATATATGAATCTTGATGAATCATGAAACTGTGTATTTGGGTCTGTACAGCACAATCAAAATACAATGTAATGTATGAACTGGTGTTAATGATCATTATTCAAATAAAATTCACATCGAGTTAATATTTGAGTTGGTACCTTCTTTTTAGATAAACAATTGAAAGTTGAAAACCAATGTAGGAATGTTGTGTTTCAGTTATAGAGGTATCTAATTCTGATTTCATTTCAGTCAGTGTACAGACCTGTCAAGTGGCTATCTCCGTCATATTTGATCATCTCTTATTAGGAACACGACTGGAATTTGTTATTCCTTCTCTGTGTTTTAGTTCTGTGGTTGAACCGAATTATGTCACACATCAATGTTGATTGAACATACTTGAGTGGTTCTTATACTGGGTCTCTAATAAATGATCTTATCATCGAAGTTACCGTTGACAAATTCAATTGATTTTCCGCTTTTCACTAAATAAAACCCTTGATTATTTACACTCAATGATAGAACACACTCGGTCTCTTCAATGCCTGTAAACAACAGGGAGCCCCTGGAGCGGCACTATGAGATTTCAACGGCCACTACGATCATTCATAGAGACCCTGTATGTTACATATAAAATTACCAATGGAAATAACATTTGTAATTTTTTTTGGAAAACTTCAAGTACATTGGCATCGTAAACGACTGTCTAGCGAATTTGAGAGCCTTAGGCTACCGTGCCCCTAAGAACCAATAATGATGACATTCATTACATGAATGGATACCTATCATTTCGACAATTAAGAATTCGTTCAAGTTGAAAAATATTCAATATTCACTAGTCAGCGAAAACACAGGAAAATGCGAGGGAAAATGCAGCCAAGCCAAAACGTCGATACTGGCTAGGCCAGTTGGTGAATGCGCCTTCAAACGCAGATTCCAATCATATATTTCTGTTATATCTCAAGGACGTATTGTTGGCATCAAAATAAGAAATACTATCTGTAGGTTAATCGAGGAGGTGGTACATTCTTCTAAACGGAGACAATAGCATTGCTTCCTGTTCAGTTGATATATATATAGAATATGGTATTCACTACTGAAAACTGAACATGAAAATGGTAGATTCAAGATCAATTAATGAAAACATCCTGTAACTCATTTGTAAACTAAAATCACTCATTCATATGCCAACATCAGTATGACACTGAAAAGTGTCAAACTATAAGCAGCACAACTTTCAAAGAAACATAATTTGCATTTACATGTTGAGAACGGGAGCAGAATCGGTCCCGAAACGTCCAAAGATAATTAAAAATTCGATATTTTTTCAATATATCTATATTTCTTTCCTTCAAACATTTTTTCAAACAAATTGTCACTGACAAGCTACTGGATTTTTCTTTTAGACTCCCTGATAAAAAAAAATTGTTAAACGCAGTGACATTTTGGGGCAAATCATCTGATTTGTCCCTCTACAAATATATTGAAATAATACGAATACTTTTATTTTATAGAAACGAGGAGAGAAAATCCCAAAGAATCAAACTTGTATGTGGACCAAGAATATTTATTAATATTAATGTTTTTTTATTCAAAGTCGAAGTTTCTCTTATTAAACAAAACATTTGGGCCAATAAAAGTGTGGACCCACCTTAAACTCCACAAAAACTAGGTTTATATTATTTTTGAAGCAAGAAGGAAATAGAGTATCAAAAACGAAAGGGGCACTCCGAGTTTCAGAAGATTTGATCCGTTATTTTAGTCACAATCTATTTTTTTACCCAACTTTCAGTGGCTCATGTTGCTCGGAGGGGGTTCATTTCAGGACACATGTGAAATGAAGAAAAATTATTTTTCTTGATCCCAACAATATGTCCTTAAAATATTTACATCGAATTTTGAATCACACTGTATGCAAATTTGAACCAAAATTATGTTGTGCTATGCCTATCACTTGATATTATCTATTCACCGTTCACAAACAAGTTAGGCTAGTTTCTGCATAATTAATAACATCAAAACTGACAAAAATGCTCAATAAAAAGTAAAGAAACCTTTGATCAATGAGCAACACTACAATTTCTTTGAACAGGCACCTAGTAGATTGCCATCACAATACTCCACCTAGAATCTTATTAATTCGAACATTCATCACATTCAAAACAAACAAAAAATACTCTAAAAACATTTAGCAATCAATCTAAAACAATAGTTAACAGTTTGGTACTTGCCTTACCGGATAATCATTGCGATTTTATCTTTCTATTAACCGTTAATGTACAGGCAAGAGAATATAGTATCGAGAAACGCTCGATGAATAAGTATATTGCTCCCAGGTACAAAACTATTGCTATGGTTAATATGAGATCGAATACTGCTGGTTTCACACTGAAAAAAAAAAAGTTGTTGTAAACAGAGCTTGAAATATTGAAGGCGATATAGTATGGTGAATTGGGGACTAAATGAGAAGGTTAAAATGCAGTTCTCAACAAAGTACACGACTCCGAATTTTAATTTTTTTCTACTACCTATGTACTCGCGGTTTTCAATATGAGATGTCTGTCACATTTACAATACCACAGCTTATTGGGACTTATCTCTGGACATTTTTGCAGTTCACAATTGAATGAAAAATAATGAATAAGTATTTGCATTTCTTGAACTTCTTTTCCAGAAGACTGTATCCAGTGAGAACTGTTTACATGTTTAACATTGTGATGTGAGAATAAACATTTTTGTTGTCTACGGACCATGTCAAAAATAGAGAAGAAAACATTATTTTGTATTTCATCAAGGAAGCAAACTTAATTCTTCTCATTTCAAATGTTTTTTCTGTGTTCCTTTAAATTGATGACCATAGATCTCATATATAATCTGACACTAGAATGCTGATTCCCATCAAGTTTCACAGCGAAAAGCGTGTGGCATATGCAACTTTTTTCATGATGTGCGCATGCTTAGTTTTAACTTCCTTGAACTAAAACGTTGCCAGCTTTTCAAAATAGTTATTGATAAAACTATTTGAATCGATATTAGACTAGATATTTCACATGTTTTGTACAGAATTGAGAACGTACATGAATACTGTGCCATTATTTTGTATTTGGACTGTTCACAATTTGAATCCGATGAAAAAGTTAATTGACAACTGACATTGTTCATGTTACTCGCGATTTGCAGAGATGGTTTTGATTTTGAGTTTTCCTTAACTTTTTCTAACCAATTTGCCAGATTTTCTACATCGTTCTTTTGCTGACTACCTTTCCAGAAGGCAACATTTTTGTTAGTTTTTGGAAATGCGTGTTTAAAAGCTGATGCGTTTTAGAAGGTCTTGTGATCGCAGCTCATGAAAGTATTATTTTTGTATGTACAATCTGAATGAGCATAAACAATGAGTTCTTGTTTGGTGTTGTGGTGCAAGTACAAGGAAAGAAAAAGGGCGCTGGGGTTTTTTGAGTTTTTGATAGAAAACTGCTTATCAAATTTTGGATCGGCCCCCAAGAGAATGATCTTCTTGATAAAAATACTATTTGTAGTAAACACTTCCGTTGAGAAAATATAGGTATTTTCTAAGGGAAATAGAATGTATGTAAAATCAAATTCAGTTTAACAACTGAAGTTGAGAAAGACTTATTATATTCATCATGAAAGGTTAGTCACATATTGAAATTGGAACATTATCATAGAATAGGCACTATGGCAGAGAAAAACGTTATGGTCCAGTTGGTTGGAATGAACTAATTTTTGAACCTGTAAGTTATTCATGCATTGTATTGCTGATGAAGAAGGCACATACACAGCTGATTCAAATATTCTGACATGTGTTGTATCCATCATATATTCACAGCTTCAATAACCGTAGGTAAAGTGATTTTCCTCAAGCTAGCACTGTTCATAATAAACATAATTCTGCACATGCGCATTGACAATCATGACATACATTTCACCACACTTTTGATCTTTTGCATATGGGCATTCTAGTGTCAGTATAGATAGATTTCCATGGGGGTATCGAATTTGAATCTAGTTTTCTCACATAGTGAGTGACCCCAAATACTGAATCAACTTATTTTAACTGTTAATGGGCTGAAAGAATTCAGTCAATGGCCTATTGAGGTATATTCCTAATAAAGATTTCCTCTCCCTCTCTCTCTAACTGTTAATGAAGAGAGATAGTGAGAAAAAATCTTTGTTATGGATATAACCCGAAAAGCCACTTACTGAAGTCACTCAGCCCAAATTTGAATGTAATTTGCGTTGTTTGTGATCATTTTCAATTTTTCAACTGAAAGGATGATACAAAATTAAAATAATTACCTGTAGACATTCACAGTTCCACTTGTGACTTGATAAAACTGAAAGTCAGGATCTCTCTTATCAGGAACAGCATTGGTCACCTTGACTTCCCTCAAATATTTATTGAAATTGTCTTTTAAAACTGCTATCAGTGCATTGTCTTTATCACTCAAGAGTTGAGGTGACCTAGGTTGACTGCATAGGTAGTTTACCCAAGTTTCTATATATTTTCTATTTACATCCTATAAATACCAAATCAAAACATCAGTTAGATGTGCATCTGTATCTAATGTGATGTAAAATATGACTTACCACACTGAGTCCAAGTACACTACCATTTGTAACACCATATATATGCCTTGCTAGTGCTTCTGCAATCAACTTGGTATTTATTACTAGCCTATCAATATCTAGACCCTCTTTGGTATCCATAATTGTTGACTTCCTGAGATCTTTGTGATTCTTCAGTGACGATAATGTGAAAGCCGGCAATCGCCTTATACTAAACCGTTCATGTTCCCATCCCAAAATATCGTCAGCCAAGTTAATTTTTTTGTGCACCCCTTCTACTGTTACTGAAGGGTACAATTCGGCTGCAGTAGTTTTGAGTTCTTTGTAGAAGCTTGAGGATGCAGAACCCTCTTTTGGTGGTTTTGACACATGCATGTAGATGGATTCATTTGATGCCAATGTATCCAGACACATCACATAAGAAACTTCCTTCAAGAACAATATTTTGTTAGCATACTCATTTCCTCTTATTCATACTTTGAAGCAATTAAAAAATACATTTTACCTGAATAATAGATCCATCCAAAGAATCAAGTTGATCCTCTAACCATTTTTTACTTCCCTGATAGTTTATTTTACCACCTCCTGACAATAAGAACACAATATTGTATTTTCCATGAGTATTTCTGCCCTTTTCTGTATAGAGACTGGAGAATAATCTGACGAGTTCAAGAAGTATGATGACACCAGATCCATTTGAGTCTGCTCCATAAGACAATTCCTATAATATTTTTATTCAGTGCATGTTATTTGAAAGGCACTTACTGTCTTGAAATTTTGTTTGGTTCCAGTGTTTGGAAATTTTATTCTCATAATAACATTTGTATCATTTTAATAAATTTTTAAGTCTTCTAGGTTCAACAAGAATACTATTAAATGCAACTTGAAATTCAAACAATCCCTCTTGTTACTTTTGGCATAGTTGGTGAAAATTTCATTCTGAATTTATTGGAATTCACCATGTTTTGAATTGAAGAACATGAAAAAATACTTCAGGATATGGTGACACTTTTTTACAAAATATCAAGGCCTACTGATGTAATTCAATGATGGTATAGTGGAGACAACTCAGAGTTTTCTTATATCTACACACTTCACTTTGAGAATCCATGGATTTCTACCATAGATTATAATTGTATCTACTGAAATTTTGTTCTCTAAGAGGCTTTTTGAGAGACCCTACCATGATCAATATATTATGGCGTTGTCACTGTTTTACTTGTAGTCTAAGTACTTGCCAATTTAAATTAGCCACTTCAATGTTATACGCTCTTGTCATCCTCCCTACCTACAAAATTACCACTTGTGATGCATTCTTCAAATAAACAAAATCAAATTACATTCTTGTTTAATTGAATAATTTAGTGAAGACACTACAAATTGGCGAGGAGGATATTTTAAAGAAAAACCCAGAGCAGTGCAAGTTCTTTCAAAGACAATAAGTTGTACTGTTTTTGTGAGTGAATCAGTAAATCATTTGACAGAATTTTCATTGAGAAAATCGGACTGGTAAATCTTCAAAGAACTATTCATTGCAAATTGTATCAAAAGTAACAATGGTAGTGAGCAAATGCCCGCAAAAGGACAAAGATGCATATCAGCTGATTTTTAACCTTGTGAGTCCACTGAAACCCTCCCTGAAACCTGAACAGAAAAGCTATGACGATTTGGTGAAGCATTTCAATGAACATTTTAAACCACAGAAACATTCAACAAGTGGGCTGCAAGATTACCGGTTTAGCCGTGGGATATGAGTTTGGGGCCAGAGCTGAAAATGTATCATGGTTCTTCATTTTTGATACAAGTGGAGTGGAATTCAAATGAAATTGTAACATGCAAACCCAATGTAGCATACCCTATATTTCCAGAGCTAACCCCAATGGTATTAGTATGTAGGTAATTGATTTGGTAATTTATTTACTGGATATCTGATTAATCAGATTTGAAAAGTGAACTAGAAATGGATGTACATACAATACTGCATTGAATACCATGCTTACTCAAAGATAGTCTAAATAAAAATATACCAGCTCATCAAATATACCAGGAGATGAATTTCCACTGAAAGAGTTTACTATCAAATTCATGTTTTTCAGACAAAAATACATAATAGCCAAAAGAAATTTTGAAAAAAAATCATCCCATGATGAATGCAGTTTAACCTTAAAAAGAAAAATATCTTGAAATTTTAATGCTCTGTGAGTGATTGTGGACAGATCACCCTAAATGCTCTTATGATTCTGATTCCACAGTTGAAAGAATTCTGATTCCTATACCAACCATTCAAGGCCAAACTGCCTTCCTAAAATTCACATATGAAAAATAACATTTTCAATATGAAGGCCAAGGAATACTCCTTCTCTTTCAAAGACCTCAAATGGCCTCAAACAATATTAAATGAATTCCAGAGTGTAAAAGTGAAAAAAGTGTTGGATAATTTATTGTTACATCACATGAAATACTCACTGGTGCAGCTCCAAAACTATCATAATGTGCCACAATTGCTATTGTTGGAATTTTTCCATCAGTACTATGACCAGGCAAGTGACCATGTATACTAGCTACTTTTGCATCTGTTTTGATACCAAGACTGCTGGATGAGACTACTATTTGGTATCCATTGGCTGCTATAGAGTTAAAAAGTGCTTCTGCTGCAGATTTGCTCATATCATTAGTATCCAAGTTATCAGTAACTTCACTGATGATTATTTCAAGTTGTGATGAATATTTAGCAAAATACACAGGAATAGACACTTCTTGCACAACCATTGCATTCTCTAATAGAAGAAGGTGATGTTGCTCTTCAACATTCAAATTTGAAATATTTTCTGGGAGCATTATCAAGAGTGCTCCTGCCTTCAATTTGATGTTTCGAAAATTGTCTACAGTCAAGTCTTTCAACTTTGTTAGAACACAGTGCCGTGGAGTACTCCAACCTGTGAGAGATTTAGCTTCCAAGTTGATACCAGCACTCCTGCAACCTTAGGAAGGAGTTCAACCTTAGCCTAAAAAGAATACCAGCAATATGATAAAACTTACCATGTGCTATACCATGCAAATCATAATGCTGCATTCGAAATGCTGGGAATTCTGAAGACGATGCCACTGGATTTACTGGAGAGACAATGATGAAAATCGGCAAAACGATAAGCAAGTAATAAGGTAAAAACCCTTTGAAAATTTCATCAAACTCTTCTAGCCACATTATGAAGGAATTGTTATTTTGGCACACTATTCAATTTATAATTACTTTTTATTATTTATTGGCATTACCACTGATGGGATTTGGAAACAATGAAGTATATTTATTAAATTATTTAAAATCACACTTAGGTCACCTACTTTCCCGAGAGTCGAAACATAACCAAAGAGGAGACATAACCAAAGAACATCAAATCAAAATCAAAGATCCAAACCCAAACAGTGTTGCCAACATGTTTCGATATATTCCCTAGCAAGGGTCAAGAAATTCCCATTTTTTCAAAAATTTTCCCACATGTTTGTTTTTGGTAGAAGTGAGTACCCAAATGAAAAAAATGAATACTCCGGTCCATATTCGTGATTTTGAGAAAGCCTTCATTGGTACATATTTCAAACGAAAACAGTGCATGACTTGCATGATGTATGATGAAGAGAAAAAACTTCGAGACTAAAAATCGATCTATGTTCTGTGCACGATGTTCTGTGAAACATCTCAGTTCTGTGCATGGAACATGAAACGATTACGGTTATTTCACAGCCGTCTTCAACTAACTGAAGACGGCTGTGGTTATTGGTTATTTTCATGCATGTCAGTCGGATAGGCCACGGGCCACCTTACTGGTCGAAACAACAGGCTGATGAAGCAATGAAATGAATCAGAAGAAGAATAAGAATAAGAATATTTTAGGTTAGGCTATAAGATTATAATTAAATAATTATTATAAAAATGCATTTCCAATGGTTTCATTTTTTCTATTCTGTAATGTAATCTGCAATGTAAAGGATGTAATGTGTAATGTTGCAGGCAGATGAGATGAGTCTATGAGCATTTTTTTGCCTCGGAAGGAGCTTCAGACTGAACCAAAAACTGAATGTGAAAATCTATGAAACATTACATTCATAATAATGTTTTTCAACCATCCTGACTCTAGAGTGAGTTATTACATAGACAGATATGGTGTTTTCCATAGAATACTCAAAAAACGTGAGCCTTTAAAAGACCCAACACATATACTATCAGAACAATCAAAACTTGAATCTCCAAAAGTAGGGGCCACCTGGTTGAGATTAATTATGATGTTTTGGAATAGGAGAGTAATGAAAGCTGCTCTTCGTTTTGGTGTAGCAGCAGTTATCATGAACCAATATGAGAGATTGGGGTTTGCTGTACTTCTACTATGTTTCACTATTTGATTAATATTTTCATTGATAACCCATTTTGTTTACATGTTCAAATATCAGGTGGGTTTATACAGTGCTTGGACTCAACATGTTCAGCTTCTTCCTTGTTATTCATAACTCATTTAAGGATGTACCTAGGTGAAAATCTCCATGAAAATAGAACAGATATTAGTTTTTCATGATCCATAATTTTTCATCATCCTACCTATAACTACCTAACTACCTTACTACTACATTAATAGATGACAGTCATAAAATAGCAAAATGGGGAGTATGAAATGATAAAAGAAACAATTTAGTTGATTCACAATTTGGTAATGCAAGACCAAGTCTAAAATGAATGTTACCTACCTACCTACCTATACCAAAGCCTTTACCCCATCTATCTATTCAAAACCACCATATAGATAGTTGATTGATTTCAGGTGGATGTTACATGACTCACTTGAAATTTACTGTAGGTACTCATTATAAATAAAACAAAAATTCCTATATTTTGGTTATCAACAACATTATCAGTTTAGTAGGCAGCAGATTCAAAAAGATGCAACTATGGAATATTATATGTATCTAATAATAATAATTTATTCACCATGCAAGCATGTTTACAATGAAACTTCAATAAATGGGTGAATCTATGAGGAATATGAATATCATATGATATAGCAACCCGGCTGCAAATTTCGACAGTCATCTGAGAAAGAAATGATATGTGTTCCAAGGGCATGTAAAAATATTATATTTCACTGCTAGATCTCATAACTAAGAGATCCAGGATGAAACAGAGTTGCCCCAATTGTCAGCAGGAGCGAGACAGTACTGTTTCGACCCACCAGGTCTCATCAGCCGCTCTCGGTCTGCTCTGGCAACTGGGACAACTCTACGCTTCGGGTATATCACCCATTTCGAAGACGCGCAGGGTATAACATGAAGTTAGAAGGAATGGGTGATATACCCGAAGCGTAGAGTTGCCCCAGTTGTCAGCAGACCGAGAGCGGCTGATGAGACCTAGTTGGTCGAAACAGTACTGTCTCGCTCCTGCTGACAATTGGGGTAACTCTGTTCATCCTGGATCTCTTAGTTATGAGATCTAGCAGTTGAATAGGTGGTGGAAAAATTCCACTCAAGTATGTCAGGTAGTGCTATATCTGTCAGCAGAGTGGTTTACTTGTAGTACCACTCTGTAGCGTATAGAGGTAGGGGTCTGTACGTGTGCCTATAGATGGCAGCGCCATACAGTGTGTGTGTCGCGATTTCTGTATCCTACCTTAGAGCTTTGCCACTAGATGGCTACAACATATATGACTATATAACTTCATGTTATACCCTGCATATTATATTTAATCAAACGGGACCTTGCCAGTCACTAGCCTGAGCAAAAACTGCACTCTCCTGTGCGTTAATTTGTACTCAATTTCGCGATTTGATAACGAGATGAGAATTATGCCATCCGATGCTTGATCTCAAAAACCTACTTGTGCCACCCTCCAATATCGATCGGCTATATCTTCGTAGTCGTTTGACATAACCCCATCATCATCATACCCTGTATTGTTTTGGATTCATTTTTGAAATCTCTAATTTGTGGAATGAAATGCAGGGTGTCGTATTTAAAGAAAAATTAACTAGTATACCTACCCTTTAGATGGTTTGATTCGAGCACCCTGTATTTTCTGTTGTAGCAGAAAAAAATATGGGAAATCATTTCAAGTGATTTATTATATTTTGAAATCAGTTCAAAAATAACTGAGCTTGATGGAGGGACATTTTATGGTGACAGGTGAATCACCCTGTACATTGGATATTATTTTTCGACGGGGAAGAAATATTCTCGGATATATTGACGCTCTTCCACTAACTTCGGCGATCTCATTGAGTCGCGGCACGTTTGGATATATTTTTTTTATCGCTTGGAGCGCACGAAAGGAAATCCCTATAATGTTCAAAGAACATCGTGCGTTCCTTGGGAGGATAGGGACAGGAGGTAGGTATCGAAATTTTTTTTGAACTTCTGGAGATTGTATATTATGTTGTTGGGAATACTTCCTCAGGCAATGAATTCCAGAGCCTAGCCGCGTTCTGTATGGATGAAGGAGTTTCGATAAAGTGCTGTTCGACATCTTTCGAGGTTGACAACGAAAGGATGTGCTGACTGGGATTGTCTAGTTCGTCTGCGACTGGTATTGCTATAGTGAAGGGATGATATAGCAGAGATTTCCGAAGAACATTTCCCGTGGAAGTATCGATAGAAAAGTGAAAGGTCGCCGACCTTTCTACGGTGTTCCAATGATGTCAAAGAGTGAGTGAGTGTGGCGTCACCCGCCAGGCGAATATGGCTCTTCTCTGGATGGAATCTAAGAGCATCAGCGTATGTTTTGGTGCTGAACCCCATATGTGGGACCAGAGTATTCTAGAACAGGCCGTATCTGCGCTTTGTATAGATCATGAGAAGCTGTTGAGGTGTAAAGTAGCTTTTCGCACGGAACAAGAATCAGAGTTTTTGTGAAGCAGCTTTTGCGATGGATCTGACATAATTATCCCATGAAAGGGGACAATATCCCCATTCATTTGCTTTTTGTTTCAACCCGTTATCACATGACGGAAGTTTGTCCGGTATAATATGCCAGCAAATAAATCGCTGTTTGTGGGTTATAGGCTCAGAGATTGAGGGGTGGCCAGGTATAGGTTTTTGAGATCTACCATTCAATTGGTATTAGATAGCATAATTCTTATTCCGTTATCAAATCCCGGAATTGATTGCAAATTATCGCACAGAAAAGTGCCCTTTTTCAATCATTTTGCTCAGGATATTGATTGGCACATCAGGCGTCGTTCGATAAAATACAATGTTTTTACGCATGCCTTTGGTACATATACAGTGCCCGTCTAAAGTCCGTCCCCTCCTACTAATTTTTGAACCACCTGGTATATCGCAACTAAATTTGGAGGGCTTTGATATGAGATAAAAACCAAATTTTTAATGAAAAATTCCAAGGCAAAGTTGTGAAATGGCGGCTGAGCGCCATCTTCAATATGTTTTTCAAATAGAACACCCCGTATATTATTCCATTTTCGAAATTTGCTCATAATTCTCAATAGTTTTCTCTCATACACTTTACTCCTAAATTCATTTGTTTTCGAAATATTAACGTCTGAAAGGTGACATTATTCCGGTATGAAATGAAAGTGCGGATTTTGGTCACTTTCCTGTGAAACATTTTGCTAACTACATATAGTTATTAATTTGTAGCTGAATCTCTTGATTATTTCGACTAAACTATAAAGAGACGTAAGGAGAGTTTATTAAGGATAACATCAGCACCGCTTACCGGAATATCTTGAAGCCCACGAATGTGTTCTGTAAATTCACAATCAAATCAAATTAGTTGGCTAAAAAATTATACATATTTTATTTTTGAATAACTCCATTATTTACCCCAACAATTATTTTATCAAGTGTTCAAAGTGGCCCACTCCTAAATCTTGAAAATGAAGTGACCTATTATAAATAGCTTCTCTCACGTTGATGATCTATTTCTCCACCTATATCTATTATTCTGCGAACCAACTCTTCTATTGTTTGGCATTCATTGGCGCATATTTTTCAATTCAAATACCCCCAAAGAATAAAATCTAGAGGTGTAAGATCCGGAGATATTGGTGGCCACTATGTACTTCCCCTGCGACCTATCCATCGTGCAGGAAAGTTAGTATCGAGGAAGTCTCTAGCCCTGCGATCGAAATGGGGAGGTGCTTCATCCTGCTGAAATATGATTTCACGATTTTCAAACTCTTCCTGATTGCTTAATACAATTTGCCTTATTCGAGGTTCAATTTCAGTTTCTGAAAGAGTTTTGTAAAGAACTCCTGTAAGATTGCCTCTGATGAAAATCGGCCCTACAACGCGCCTAAACATTCACCTTTTCAGGAAACTGGGTATGTTCCTCCCTAAAAATATGCGGATTAGTATCGCTCCAGTATCGTACATTCTGTTTGTTGACTTTTCCATGAAGAAAAAACGTGCATTCGTCTGAGAAAC